TTACTTAATTCATACGTTCAATTTATAAGAAATATTTGCAAATATATGCACATATGTGAAATTGTGTATATGTGTGACAGAGAAGATATTTAAAGAAATATTACTATAAAACATAAAAATGTGCATTAGTAGAGTACTAGTTAAATCAATCAGGGGCTACTTCATCCATTCAATGATATAGTATGCACCTATTAAATAGAATGAAAGTTTCTAAATACTTATGTGCAAAATGTATAAGATTTAAACTTTTTTTTCTTATTTGTTTCAACTTTGTTTTTCTTTTTTTCTCTTTTCTTTTTTTTTGTCAGTTGGGAGCTTGAATTCTTGTGTGTGTGTGTGTGTGTGTGTGTGTGTGTGTGTATGTGTTGGTTGTGGGGCCTGGGCACTGTCCCTGAGCTCTTTTGCTGTAGGCTAGTGCTCTACCACTGGAGCCACAGTACCAGTTCTGGTTTTCTGGTGATTAATTGGAGACAAGGGTCTCATGGACTTTCCTGCCCAGGCTGTCTATGAACTGTGATCCTCAGATCTTTAGCCTCCTGAGTAGCTAGGATTACAGGCATGACCACCAGTGTGCAGCTTCAGCTTTTGTTTTCTTTACAGTATTTTTTTGTTTTTTGGCTGGTTGTGGGGCTTGAACTCTGGGCCTGGGTGTTGTCCATCAGCATATCAGCTCAAGGCTAGCACTCTGCTACTTGCAGCGCCACTTCCGGTTTTCTGGTGGTTTGCTAGAGATAAGAGTCTCACAGACTTTCCTGCCTGGGCTGGCTTTGAACCACAATCCTCAGATCTCAGCCTCCTGAGTAGCTAGGATTACAGGCGTGAGCCACCAGCTCCCAGCTTACAGTATCTTAAAGTGGTAGGTTAGGTTATTGATTGAAATATGTATTCTTTTTTTTTTGAAATATGTATTTTTTTAAAAATATTTATATAGTTTTGAAATAGGGTCTCATTATGTTTCCCAAGCTGACCTCTGCCTCAGTCTCCCAAATGTTGCAATTACAGGCATGAGCCATGTGTGTTTGTTTGAGGTGAGGGCCTGTTCTTGCACGGCAGATGCTCTACCACTTGAGCCATACTCCCAGCATTTTTCACTTTTGAGATAGAGTCTCATGTTTTCATCTGAACTGTCATAGACTATGATACTCCTAGTCTCTACTTCCCAAGTAGCTGTGATTATAGGTATAATCTACCATGCTTGACACTTATTTAAAGTATTGCTCTTTCTTTTTTTCTGGTACCAGGGCCTAATTTAGGGCTTCGAGCTCTGGCTTGGCTCACAGCCAATGTTCTACCACTTGAGCCATTCCTCCAGCTCTAATATTTCTAAATTCTGATATGATTTCTCCTTCAATTCAGTTATTTTGATATATGCTTTTTAGTTCTCACATTTTTGTGGTTTTTTTTAAATTATTTTTTTCTGTCATTGGTTTCTACTTTATTCCATTTGGTCAAAGAACACCTACTTGTTATGATTTTAATCCTTTTGAATGTTGGAGAATGTTCCATGTGACTTGAAAAGACTATATACTCTGCTATCAGTGAGTGGAAAAAAAAATCCTCTCTTGTCTACAGTTACTGAGGAGCATTTCACCCTCCCAACTTGAAATCCCTTCCTTCTGTGTCTAGTCCAGAAGACATTTTTTCCCCTCTTCCTTGTGTGTGTGTGTGTGTGTGTGTGCGCACGCACAGGTGTGCACACACACACATGTGCGTGTGTACTACTATCCAAACTTGAATATAGGGTCTGGGCTTTGTCCATTAGCTTTTTGGTGTGTGTTGGTCCTGGGGCTTGGACTCAGGTCCTGGATACTGTCCCTGATCTTCTTTTGTTCAAGCCTAGCACTCTACCACTTGATCCACAGCTCCATGTTCAACATTTTTGGGAGTTTATTGGAAATAAGTGTTGCATAGACTTTCCTGCCTGGTCTGGCTTTGAACCAGGATTCTCAGATCTCAGCCACTTGGTAGCTAAGATTATAGGTATGAGCCTCCAGGACCTGGCTGTTGGTTAGTTTTTTTTGCTCAAGGGTGGTGCTCTACCATTTGAGCCACACATCCACTTACTCTTTGCTTCCTCTTAACTGGTTATTTAGGTAAACTTAGCTTCTAGCATGGTACCTTCTCCTCTTCCTTCTCTTTTTTCCTTCTTTACCTGCTCTTCATTCTCTATTCCACCCATCTCTCAGATGCTCCCAGAACAACCTAAAACCCAAGAGCTAACACAAAGGGATTCACCCCTTCCCTATGCCTTTGTAGCTCAGGTTCTTCTACTCCTTTTCAGGAATCTGAATTACAAAAAGTAGTCCAGGAACCAGCTGATAGAGAAAACTCTATGTGCTCAGAACACTAAGATTAAAACGCTATGGAGAAGTCAACACCTTCCCTTCTAGTCTCACCTGCCATGGAACATGGGTCGAAGGAGAGATTTCAGTAAACAAACCGTGTGTGTGTGTGTGTGTGTGTGTGTGTGTGTGTGTGTGTGCGCGCGTGCGCGCATGTGCCAGTATTGGTACTTGAACTCAGGGCCCAGGCTCTGTCTACCTTTTTGCTCAAAGCTGATGCTCTACCACTTGAGCCACACCTCTACTTCCACTTCTTTTGGTGATTAGTTGGAACTAAAAGTCTTATGGACTTTTCCTTCCTAGATTAACTTCAAATCATAATCCTCAGATCTTAATCTCCTGAGTACCTGGGATTACAGGCAAGAGCCACCAGCAACCTAGCTGAGGCTGCTGCTCTTTCTTCTCCTCCTTCTTTTTCTTTCTTCTTCTCTTTCTTTCTTCCTTCTCCTCCTCTTCTTCCTCCTTCTCTTCCCCCTTCTCTTCTTTTGGCATACTTTAGTTGTGCAAGGAATGTTCCAGTTGTAACATTTCCCACATGCATGCAGTGTATGCAGGGGCTCATATCTATAATCCTAGCTACCTGGAAGGCTGAGATCTGAGATCATAGTTCAAAGTCAGCCTGAGCAGGAAAGTCTGTGAGACTCTTATCTCCAATTAAGCACAGACACACGCGTGCGCGCGCACACACACACACGCACACACGCACGGTAAAGGATAGGAGAGTGGAAATGGTGAATGAAGGATGGATTGGTGAGCAGATTGCCTGGTAAACTCCAGGGCCTCACTCCCATTAGTGGCTCTTTTGGAGACTCGTGTAGCTCACACCTCCGGACATGCCACCAGCCCACCCTGCGTTGTCCACTGAGAAGTCATCATAACTTTTCTTTCTTTAATCAGTGACGTTGCTCCAGGAGTTAGATCCCCCTCCCCTCAGCTTCTAGTCTGTTTGGCATGACAGGTGAGCTGGCAGCCCTGGCACTGGGAAGCTCAGGCAGAGTGAGTCAGGCATTGGAGGTAGCAAGCCATCTCCCTGGCCCCTGTCCACCTGCAGCTGCAGGTGACTCCGAGCTGAGCTACAGGCATGGAAATGCCTTGTCTAAGTCCATCTGGGACAGGAATATGAGTGAAGAAAGGGGCAGGACCCCTGCACAACTCCCCCTCCTCAGGTACAGTCCAGAGCCCTGGCAAGACCCACTGTCACCTTCCCCACCATGGTGTGGAGACAGAAGTCCCACAAGGGCTTTGGGGTGTAGGTGTGGGGCATCCTACAGTGTTTCCCGGCTTCCCCGAGCAGAGTGGCATGAGCTATGCCTGGCCAAAGAGAAAAGCAGCAGAGCTTAGCTCTGCACACAGACCCAGGTGATCAAAGCCCGAGAAGCATTTTTAGTTTTGCACCAAGTGAACTCCCCAAGCCACCTTTGTTCTCAGCCAAGGAATCAATCTTGGGAGAATCAATCTTCAGCCTCCATTTCCCATCTTCCTCCTCAGCCCTTAGCACTGTCTGACCCACTGTAGATTTAACCAATCATCCGTCTCCTCAGGAAGCAGGGAGGTACATACATACAGACCTCTCTCTTCTCCACTGCTGTATTCCCAATTCCCAGAACCATATGTTTTGTTTTCTTTGTACATAGTAGGAGCTCATTACCTAGGTATAGGCTGAATGGACTTAAGACCAAAGGAGCAGGCCACGCCTCCTCCAGAGCGCCTCTGATTGGCTGGCACACAGTAGGAATTCAGGTGCTCTAGTGGGAGCTAGAGGAGCAAATAGGAGTGTCCCCCAGTCCCTCACTTTCAGAAAAGCCAGGGCAGTGGTCCCCCCCAGGGGGGAGACTTCAAGCTGGCTTGGCAGATCCCCGGAGGGGAGGCAAGGACGCAAATAGACAGCTGGCTCCTGGCATCTGCGTCCTATGTACAACTTGTCTGAATCCGGAGGGAATAGACGCTCCTGCTCCTGGGGGTGGGGAAAGGATTTCTCCTGCAAACAAGGTTCAAATCTGAACTCCTGGGATGTTCTTGTTTTGATCTGGTTCTAGCCTGACACCATGGGGTTGTGCAAACGCCCTGGAACAGTGAGGGCATTAGGACCAGGAGCGAGGCGCACACTTGGCTCGGCCTGTGTCTGGCACAGGGCTCTGGGCTGAGCAGAGCTATGTGTGAAAGGAAATCAGGCTCTGCGTGCGACTTCACATCTGTTGATCTGACCTGACTTGAAGCCATCCAAAGAAGGACGGCTGTCAGCGCTGCTTGACTGAAGCCCCACCAGCTGGCCCCCCGACGTCTCATTACAGCCCAGCCACTTGTGCAAAGGGAGAGAAACACGTGGAACTAAACACCTGAGAGGAATGGATTCCTTACTTTTTTTCTCAAGGAGAAAACCAGGGAGACAGGGAGCAAACAATTCAGTCTGAAGTCCGTGGGAATGGGCTTGCAGAAGGCAATTAAAGAAATCCACTTAGAGAGGACCCAGGGTGATACCCAGGTCCTGTGGCTTTCTGATCATGAGTGGAAGCAGGTCTTAACACACGTGGTTGGTAAATGTCAGAAGGATGAAAAGGAGCTGGTTAAGCGACTAGCAAGACAAATCTCAGGTGAGCTGAGCAAGCCAGGTTGTGCCCCGAGGCACCCGGAGCGGTGTGAGCAAGCAAACCTGAACACAACCTGTTGCAACTGGCAATTGTAGCAGCATGCTCCTAAGGAAGCGCCAGCGACAGGGACCATGCAGACTTCCGTTCCGGCTGCTCCTTGTGATGCTGGGATGCCTCCTGATGATGGTGGTCATGCTGTACCCGCCCCCACCCACCCTGCCCCAGGATGCCACGGCCCGCACCAGCAAGCGCAGCTCTGATGCTGGGTACCGCTTGGATTTTGGAGACTCCCAAGAATGGGTCCTGGAGACTGAGGATGAGGGGGAGGATTATAGCTTCATAGACAATCTACCGCCCTTCATCTCACTGCGGGAAGATCAGCTGCTGATGGCTGTGGCTTCACCCCGAGCCAGGAGGAATCAGAGCCAGAGCAGAAGAGGAGGCTATCGGTTCATCAGACAGGCAAGCAGGAGGCAGGAGGAGGAAGCCTCAGAGGAGGAGGATGGGGAGGTAGCAGAAGAAGAGGCACTCACTCTGCACAGCCTGGACCAACAGGGCCTCAAAGAGGGGCACAGAGCCCGCATCCCCCTGCGGAGGACCCTGCCAGAGGCCCGGCATCCACTGTAAGTAAAGCTCACCCCCCCCCCCCCCCCCCCCCCCCCCGCTTCTTCCCCTTTGCTGGTCTCCCCAACGCCAGTCAGGTGTCTGCAAAGTGAAGGTGCAAACTGTGCTAGATCTCCTCCCTCATCCCGTCCCTGTCCAGGATTCCAGTTCTGGCCTGGAGGGCCAGGCAGGAACAGCTGTGTGTATGTAACCGGCCAGGAACTCAGCAGGAATTCCTCAAGACACCTTTTCACACCCACGCCAAGCCAGTGTGGGTATTCTGCTCCCTTCTTAGTGTTTTGTGTGGTTTGGTTTTGTTTTTTAATCAACACAGCGATTGCAGTGCGCATTTAGGCAGCTCATGCCACGCACCTGGTTTTAATCTGAGCTTTCCATACACAACTCATAAAGTCCTGTGAAGTCTTTGCAACTCTGGAGGATGGGTGTAACTATTAGCTTCATTCTCATTTTGTAGGAATGAAAAATAAGGCCCAGAGAGGCCAAGTGGCTCACCCCAGTCACACACAGCTAGCCAGTGCCAAAGCAGGAATTTAGATTCAGGCATTTAAGTGCCAGTCTGCCTGAATCACGGCTCTTGAACACCCTCTTTAGCCTGACAGACTAGTTTCAGTGCCTGACTGCTGGAATACTGTCTTCACTAAAGCTTAGCCTGGCAAGATGACCCCAACCGGAGGAGCTTGGCTGGGAAGTATACACAAATGCAGGTCTGTGCCCAGGGAGATGGTGGGCTCTCCCTCTTTATCCCCATCCTCCTTTACCATGGCTGGCCATGGGACAGGACCGGAGGCTGCTTACCCACCTCCAGAAGCAGAGGGACTGGCTAGTTTGGATGATCTCAGACCCATCCTCGGAAGTTCTGGTTCCTCAAAGCCCAGCTGTTTCCTGGAAAGCAAATATATCTTTTATCCCTCCAGGCAAGGGATGTGTAAGAGCTTCTAAAATGCCTGATTTGGGCCCTCCCAGCACCATGCTGGGCCTGGAGTCCTTACCTCTCCACTGACTTCAAAGCTTTGCCTTAGAAAGCTCTTCACAGGAAGCTTCCAGCCCAGGCTAGCTTTGGGCTTTCTCTAGACTCCAGGCACTTATTATAACTAAAGCTAAAAGGCCCTTGATGCATTGACTTGCTCTGTGTTGCTTCTCCTTCTTGCTGAGCCCACAGGTCAGGACTGCATGTGCACTGTGCAGCCAGTGCCCGGCACCCGGCAAAGCAATGCTTGCAGATGCAAGAATACTTTCAGATTCCTTTGATATGATTTTCCCTTGCCCCAGAGCAAGATTGATCGTCATCATTTTGTGGCTAAGAAGAATGACTGGAAACAAATCTTTGGATCCCAAAAGGAGTCTGTGTGTGTCTGTGTGTCTGTGTGTGTATGTGTCCTCAATTTTGTGCCTGTATGTTGTGTGTATTATACATTGTACCATGCATTGCATGATATAAATTGTATATTGCACATTGCACTGTGTATCATACATGCATGTATGATTGAACAAGTGTTGGGGATATGTGTGGTGCACTGTGTAGTGTGTGGCAAGTGGGTGTGTTGTATATGTGGTGTGATGTGTACAAATATGAGCTATGGGGGGGTTGGCATGGTTGCACGTGTGTTCAAGTTGTGGGTATATCTGTGTGCATAGTACACACATGTATTATATATGTTGTGGATTGGGGTGTTATGTATATTCATTGTGCATATTGGTGCACATATGTCATGATGTTGTATTTGTCTTGTATGTATTTATGTGGCTCAAATGTGCCATGTGTGTTGTGATAATGTTGCTTGGGTCTGGTGCTCTTGTTCATTATTGTGCCTGTGTGTATTGGATGTATATTGGATATGTATTGTGTATAAATTTGTGCATATACAAACGTGTTATGAAGTTCATGATAACTCACGTGCATGTGGTACAAAGTGAGTGAATTTTGTAACACGTTTGTTGTACCCATGTATGCATTACTGGGTGAGATGTACATGAGTACAATATGCACGAATATTGTGTATGTTGTACATTTGGTGTTGTGTACACATGTATGGTGCTATGCACACATGCAGGTGTGTGGTGCATAAAGTACATGTATTTGTTGTGGCTGTGTTACATATGTATTATGGATCATGTAAGTGGGAGTGTGCATGGGTTCAAGCATGTTGCATTTGTTGTGTGTGGTGTACATATATGCAAGTGTGTGGTGCAAGCAGGTGGATTTTATGCCAGGTGTGTTTAATGTAAAAAATGTGTGCATGCATATGTGTGCCATTCTGCGGCTTTTCTTCCAGCCAGCTTAACCAGCTTGTCTCAGTTTTCCTGGAACTTTACCCATTTTAGCACTAAAAACTCCTGGTACCCAGGAAACCCTTAACCCCAGGCAAAGCCATGCAGTTGGACTCTGTGCTTCAGCTTGCTAGACTTCTCATGGTTGCCAGCTCTATGCAGAGGTGGGAAGCGCCCTCTGCTGGACTCCACCGGTGAGTGCAACCTGTGGCCTTGGGCCCCAGACTGTCACCTGTAGGTCAGGCTCTGAACACTGGATATGCAAGAGTTCTGCTGAAGCGTGGCATAACTCCACCCTCCTTCCAAGAGACAGTGCTTTTCTCTTCTTCCTTAAAACTAGGTTGAAGTACAAGACATGAAAGAAACAGCCATGTATTAAGGACCTACTATATGTGGGCTTGCATTACAGTTTTCCTGCCAAACCTGGAACAGCAAGACTTCCAGGGCCATGTACCCCACACTTCCTCCTGCCCCCAGGCTTCCTGCAAGCCCACCCTTAACCTGTAGCTTAGACAAGCCCCAACCACAAATTCTTCCACCAATCCCATCTCCCCCAGTAGCCCTGGCCTTTGTTTGCTCCTCTTTTTCAGACCCTAGGTCTTGTTTGAGCACTATTATTTCCATTTGTTTAATTTACATAACAAAACTAGTAAGTGGGTTTCATTTTTATGGATGTGAAGCCAAGGTCGAGAAAAGTGGATGGACTTGTGCCATGTCATCTGTCCACATGTCCAACACCCAAATCACCCTGGGGTTTAAATTCAAGGCCTCCTGCTTGCCTGGCAGGTGATCTACCACCTGTGTTACCTCTAGCCACCTTTAATGTTGGTTATTTTCATGATCTCACTTTTTTCCAGGTGGGCCTGGGCTGAGATTTTCCTTCTTATAATTCCCCTGTAACCGAGAAAGCAGGTATGTGCCACTGTGCCTACCCATTGGTTGTGATGGAGTCTTTCTTACAAACTTTTTTACTCAGTTTGGTCTTGAACTGCAATTCCCTAATCTCTGCTTCCAGATGACTTGAGACATCATGCCAACTTAAAGCCATGCTCTTAACCAGACTTTCTAAGTCTGCCACTTCCTAGACCAGACAATGGGCAAGTCACATGGGTTGAGTACATTTCTGGCTTTCCTTTGAGGGGAGGATGGTAGAGTGGGGTATAGTTCATATCCCCAGCCCTTTTTGCTTTAGTAAGTTTCAGGTAGAGTCTTGTAGAATTTTGTTGTTTTGTTTTGTGGTACTGGGACTTGAACTCATAGTATCATGTGTGCCAGTCAGGCATTCTACTACCTGAGCCACAGGCCCAGATCCCAGACTTTGCACCGATAACTCAGGTGCAAAGGTCTCTGTATCTTTACCCCAGGCTGGCATCAGACGCAGATCCTCCTACCTATACCTCCTGTGTGGCTAGGATTACAGACATCCACACCCAGCCTGGTTTTCCCTTCTTAATCAGGAAGCTGACACTGGTCCATAGAGAGAGACAATAGAAGATGCTCATCACGGCATCCTCAGGGGTACTTGGAGTGGAGGCCACCTGGTGTCACATCCCAGGCACAGAAGAGCTGGGTGTGTCCCATGAAATACTCAGTGGGAGCTAGGAGCCCAAGACTCAGCATCGGCTCAACAAGGGAGCAAGACCTTGACACTCCTCTGTTGAGACTAAGAAGTGAGACAGAGAGCCTAAGGCTAGTTCCTTCCTGGCTATGGAATCCAGACCCTCCACCAGTCTGTTCCTCACCAGACAGCTCAAAGGCATTGAGATGGTGGTGCAATGAGCCAGAGAACAGCTCCTGGTCCTGGAAGAGCCAGGAACTAACACATAGGACTAACTCAGCTCTGCAAAGCTGCTGTCGGAAGGAAGGAAGGTGGAGAAAGTCTTTCCCATCCTCCTGTCTTTGCACAAACCACTCCCACTCCAGCACTAACAGCCTCAAAGCTTGGCCAGACCCACTCTCCTTGATCTTCCAGGCATGGAGTATAAAGCAGTGTTTCCCTGGCACCTAAGAGGCTCCTGTGAGCTAGTGCTTTGGTTCTCCAGGAGCCTGTATTTCAGAGTGGCATCAGAGCCCCCAGGTGGCTGGTTAAAACAGAATCCTGAACCAGGTGCTGGTGACTCATGCCTATAATCCTAGCTATTCAGGAGGCTGGGATCTGAGATCCCAGTTTAAAGCTAACCTGGGCAGGAAAATCCATGAGATTCTTATCTCCAATTAACCACCAAAAAACTGGAAGTGAATTGAGGGCTCAAGTGGTAGAGGGTCAACCTTGAACAAAAAAAAGCTAAGGGGCAGCACCCAGGCCCTGAATTCAAGCTCCATACTGGCTCCAAAGAAAACAGATTCCTGCCTTCTTGTTGCCCTTCTCGGCCTCATCCCACCCCACAGCTTCCCACTCAGCAGGTTCAGTATGGGTCTTCAGCATTTGTAGTTACAATCTGCCAGCCACTACTACACTGCAGAGACTGGAGGACCCTGCTGAGTCCCATTGCTGTCTGTGCGCCAGCCAGACTGGCCAGAACAGGGAGCCTCAGACGTAGATATGTGTGCCACCATAGAGACAGCTGGTTAACCTCAAAGCCTTTCAGAAGATCCACGGTGCAGCCCAAGATGCTAAGTCCCCTGTAGACTAGTACTGCTTTTAAGCAGTAAAGGGCTACCCCACAGGTTCTCTAAAGTTTGTGCGCACATACACACACACACACACACACACACACACACAAACACACAC